GTTTTTGATATTTATTCAGTTGTGTTCTTTAATAGCTATGTGTGTTGATTTTTTTGTACAATGACTAATACCCAAAGATACTATAATGTAATAATGATAATGTAATTTGTATTGTTTGAATTGAAAAAGAATTACTTTTTTAGTATAAATACATAGAATAATATGATAAATGAATGAAATGGTAATGAGTGATGAATAATAAATAAAATACTTCATATTTTATTAACAAACAAAAGAATAAATAATAAGAAAGAGAAATAAAAAACAATATAAAATATAATCAATTATATTTCATTTCTACTTCAAATTAGATTGTTTTTTCATTTGTTGTAGTTTTATTTTATTGTTTCTTTCATTACCATTTAAAAGAATCTTCAGGTATGTTTTTATTTTTCTTTAATTCTTTTACACATCCACAATTATAAAAACATTTATATCCAAATGATGTAACTGATGTTGGAATATTAATTGATATTAATGAACAACATCCTGAAAAACAGCCATATCCTATTTGAATAACTGATGATGGAATAGTAATTGATGTTAGTCCAAAACAATCTTTAAAACAATCATATCCTATTTCACTAATTGATGATGGAATATTAATTGACATTAATGAATAACATCCTTTAAAACAATACCATCCTAATCGACTAATAGATGTTGGAATATTAATTGATGTTAAATTATAACAGTCTTTAAAACAATCACCTCCAAGCTGAGTTATTGTTGATGAAATGTTTATTGATTTAAGTCCACAACAATTGTTAAAACAACTACACCCTAATTTAGTAATTGTAGATGGAATAATAAATTCATTAACGTCACTCTTTTTAATATTCTCTCCATTGATTATTTCTAGATTATATGGTATTTCAATACTATCTAACACTGGTTCATTCATAAATATTTTTTCTTCACTTACATATTTTATATTTTCTATATCAATTGATGTTAATGAATCACAATAACAAAAACACTCACCTCCTATCTCACTAACAGAGGATGGGATTGTAACTGATTTTAATGATTCACAATTCCAGAAACATCTATACCCTATTTCTTTAATTGTTGTTGGTATATTAATTGATGCTAGTTCATAACAATTATAAAAACATTCATATCCAAGAAATTTAACTTCTGGTGGTATTGTAGTTCCATGTTTATGTCTATCTTCTTTTGTATATTCTATATTTTTAAATATATTTCCTTGTTCTTTTTCTTTTAAATATGTTGAATAATCTACTAAATACCATATTACTTTTTTAAATATTTTTCCATCATTAAATATTTTATCATTATATTTATAAATATGAAATGTTTCAATGTTAGGAAACAATTTTCTTGAATATTCATCTAATGGAATTGGATTAAAATGAAATCGTTCCATATTTCCTTGAAATCTTTTAACTCCAATTTCTAAATTAATAAAATCATTAATGTCATTAAAATACTTTGATGTTATCATTATTTCATTATATCCTATTCTCATTCTTGATTAATTATTTATTAGTTTATTTTATTAATTCTTTTATTTTATTTTAATTTGAACTTCAAATACTTTTAAGATAATCGTCATTTTATTTTCTTCTTTTTTTCTTTTTATCAAAATTCAATTAAATATTTATTAATTAAGATTAAATCATTTATTTGGTTTCTTTTTATTAACTTAATTTTATAATGATTTAACTGTTATTTATCATTATTTTATTTCTATGCAATCTATTGTTGTTATTTGTTGTATTCATTAATTATTTGAAATGATTGTATTAGTACTAGACTCTCATTACAAATATTTATTATTGTTTCTATTTTATTATATGACATTAAATTATTTGTTATGAGTTGTTCATTTGTATGAATAAATTCATTTAATTATTTGTTATTGTTGTTATCATATCAATTTAAATTTTAAATCATTTAATTTATCATATTTTGAAAATGATATATATTTATTTAATTTAATAATTGGTGAAATAACATATGTATTCTCTGTATTCAATTTATTATTTTTGTTATTATATTATTCTTTTCTTTTTAATATTTATAGAAAATTATCATTATATATTTGTTAAAATGATGAAATGTTCATTCGTTTCTATTCGATTTTGGTAAATATTAAAATATAGATAATTATTGAAGAATAAACATAATTGTATTAATTTATCATTATTCTCTTCTTTATCATATTTGTATTATTATTATAAAATAAATATGATAATAAATATATGATATATCAACATATACTAATGTTTATTCAATTATCTTTTATTAATAATACATATTTTTATTATTTTAAATATTTACAATATTACATCATCATTTCTATTTATTTAAATTGAATATAAGTATAATGAATAATAATTTTAAATTAATTATATGATTATTTCATTTTCATTTATTATGATAATTCAATGATACAAATACTTTCTTATCAGATAATTTACACATT